GTTAGTTCTTGGTTTTGGTTCCAGGCTAGAGGGGAGAACTGAAGGAAGATCTGAGGCCAGAGATACCATCTCCCATACTCCAGGACTAGAGGTGATTATAATAATAAGCTGCTACAAATTTTAAAAACGAGCAGTCAAAGAAGAAAGAACCCAACTACAGAAAGTTATCATAGAAATAGAGAAGACCAAGGTTCATCTTCAGAGGAGGATACTGAAGCAAAAAAAAAAAAAAAGCCTCTCCTACCCCTACTCCATCAAATGGTCACCTGCCTAAAAAGAATTCATAGGAGAACTTAAGAGACTTTAAAATCAAATGAAAGAGATTGAGGAAATTAAAAAAAAAAATCCAAGAAAACCAAGAAGATTATGAAAAGAAAGTCAACCAATTAGAAAAGGAGATCCAGAATCTTAAGGAAAAAAGTGACTCCTTAAAAATTAGAATTGGAAAAAAAATTTTTTTAATTAGAATTGGGCAAGGGGAAGCCATCGAAATTATAAGACCAAGAAATAATAAAACAAAATATAAACAATGAAAAAATAGAAGAGAATGTGAAACAATCTCATAAGAAAAATGACTAAGTTGGAGAACAGATAAAGAGAAAGCATAAGAATAATTGGACTACCTGAAAGCTACGATCAAAAAAAGAATCTTGATACAATAATACAAGAAATAATTAAAGAAAATTGCCCTAAAGCATTAGAATAAGAGGGGAAAATAAAAATAGAAAAAAGTCCACTGATCACCACCTGAAAGAGATTTTACAAGGAAAACCTACAGGAATATCATAGTCAAATTCCAAAACCCCCAACTCAAGAAGAAAATATTACAAGCAATGAGAAAAAAAACAATTCAAATATGGTGGAGCCACAGTTAGAATCACACAAGACCTAGCAGCAGCAACACTAAAAGACCACAAATCTTGCAACACTGCAATATATCAAAGAGCAAAAGAACTGGTGTTGCAGCCAAAAATATCATACCCTGCAAAGTTAAGCATAATCCTGAATGGGGAAAAAATGAACATTCAATGAATTACCAGACTTTCAGGATTTTGTTGCCAAAAAAAAAAACTTAGTAGAAAATTTGTCATACAAGATCCAAGAGAAATATAAGGTACACGTCAAAGACTAATTACAAGGGACTCAGTAAGGACAGACTGTTTGCTTTTTATATGAGGAAATATAAAATGTATGTCTAAGATTGTTATTAGTAATTGGGTAGTTTGAATGGGGTAGACCTGAATATGATGTGATTCTAAAAAGTAAAACCATTTAGAAAAAGGTAAAAAGAGTAATTATCTTATACAAATGAGATGTGAGAGGAAAAACTGACACAGAGAAATTAGATGGGGGTGGATGGCTGGTAGTTCTGGAACCCTACTTTCATTGGGAATGAGTTAAAGAGGGAATAATATATATATATATGGGCTTTTACCATTTGGATTCAATTAAACAGATATCTTTCTTGTCACCTGCTATGTGCGGAGTGCTATAATTGACACTGTACAATGTAGGTAAGACATGCTCCTTGTCCTCATAAATCTGAGTTAAAGAGGGAATAATATATAGATATAGATATAGATAGATATATAGATATATGTGTGTGTATATGTATATATATCTAGAAGGGTATAAAAGTCTTCTAAATTCAGAAAGAAATAAAAAGCTAAGGGGATAGGGAGGTGGGAGAGAATAAGGGAGGGATTTTTCAGAGTGAACCCTATTCACATCAGATCTGGGTTAAAGAGTGAACAATATATGCATCTAGAAGGGAATAAAAGTCTTCTAAATTTATAAAGAAATAAGAGGCACACACATAAAAACAAAGATCAGGACTAAAATTTATTAGGGGGAAAAGCAGGGGTAGTAATCATTATCTCAGACAAAGTTAAAGCTAAAATAGATTTAATCAAAAGAGAAAATAGGGAAACTGCACCATGTATCAGTCATATTAATATTGTTTTAGACTATTTAAAATAAGTAGACAGTGTAAGGTTGGAATATTGCTATGGTGTAGGAAATGATGAGTTGGTGGATTTAGAAAAATGTGGAATGACTTAGACTTATCAAGGATGATGTTATCCTCCCTCAGAGACAAACAAATATAGGTCTTACATAGATGCAGATGAATGAATATTTCTATATATGAGTATGAGTATAGATATTGAAGTGTATGTATGTGTATGTATATATGTGTGTGTGTGTGTTTGTGTATCTGTGTGTGTGTGTGAAAATAAATATACCCATGCTTAATTGTAGCCTTTATGGGGAGGGGTGGAGGAAGGGGAAAAAAAGAACAAAGTAAAAAGTGCACAGCAGAGAGCAAAAGAAAACTCTTGAAGAAACAAAGAAAAGATGGACAGCTCTGAACACAATGTGTGGTATTTATTATATAGACTTCCTTGAAATGAAAATTTATTGCTGTATATTTTGAATCCTCTCTTATATTCTGCTGTGCACATGGCAATACTTTTTTTTCTTTTCTTACTTTGTATTTAAGATTTAGTATTTAAGTTTATAATATGTTTATTTTTCTTTTCTTATTGTGTATTTAAGTTTAAAAATAAATTAAGAAAAAAGAAAGAATAGGTGTCTCTTTTGCTGTTTCTCTATGTAGATATTGACATAGGTACACATATGGAAAGAGATATAGAGAATATGTGTATGTGTATATATATGTATGTATATATATCTTCTGCTTAGATTAATTTCATTCATCTTAACATGTGTGTGTATATAGGTATGTGGATAGATAGATAGATAGATAGATAGATAGATGAGAAAAATTCAGGTCAACCTATATGGAGGGTTGACTTATTCCTGAGAATATACAATATTTTAAAACTGGGTTCTTGAGTTATACAGGGAAATGGTAAGGTAAATTCCATGTTCTAAAATTAGATTCATTCCATATCAAATCATGAAAATAGGAGGTATTAAATTTTTCTACAATCTATAGGTCAAAAGCTTATGATCTATGATACAAAACAGTAAAATATTAACTTGATTAGGATTCAGAAAACCTGGGTTCTAGTGCCACTTTGCTACTACCCTGATGTGTGGTATTGTCATGTCATTTAGTTGCTGAGCATTTCTCCTATATAAAATGAGAGATTTGGGCCCAATAATCTTTTAACGTCCTTTCCAGCACTAACATTCTTTGATTGAGTTTCCTACACACTGGAAGCTATGTCTCTTATACTGTTTGGGACAAGAGAGTTCAGTTTTACCTTCTGTTGTCTTTCAGAATGGGGAATGTATAAAGTTGTTTTAAGATCTGAGAATACTTGGAACTTGCCACCCTGGTTAAAAATTTAAATTCCACTGCAAACATTCTTTCTCTACTGTCTTACATTTTAATTGCCCAAATGGTCTTTTACCATTTGGATTCAATTAAACAGATATCTTTCTTGTCACCTGCTATGTGCGGAGTGCTATAATTGACACTGTACAATGTAGGTAAGACATGCTCCTTGTCCTCATAAATCTTATTTTCTAATGGGGGAATAAGATACAAACAGATAACCACAATACACAATATTATATAAGTACCACATTAGAGAAATTTTACATGATAAATGTTATAAGAGGGAAGGAAGGATATTATTTCTGATTGGAGGGATCATAGAATCATAGATTTTAAGTTCTAAGAAATCAGGGAGAGCGTCATAGAGAAGGTGTCATTGAACTGGACTTCAAAGTCCAAATGAGTTGAAAGAAGTAAGTAAAGAAACAGAATTGTGAGAGACAGGATGTACTAGGGATAGGGATAGGGAAAATGACTTGAGTAAAGTTACTGAAGTGAGAAATCATATGGCCTATTCAGTAGACAGTCCCTTTAGTTGTACAGTATGTGAACTGTTCTGTGAAATAAGGTATAATAGGAAATATGGTGGCACTGGACTCCAGAGGGCTTGGAATATTAGGCAAAGGAGTTTGAACTTTGCCTAGTAGGCAACAGAAATCCACTGGAGATTCTTGAGCAAAAGAATTATCTGACTGTATTTATTCATAAAGGTGATTGGCAGCAGCATAAAATATGAAAGAAAAGTGGAAAGACCTCTTAAGAGGCTACTGCAATAGATCAGATAGGTGGCATTTGGGCCCTATACTAGGGTGGCTAGAGGATACAGATTTGATAGCTATTACAGAGATAGAAATTAAAAGCTGATTGACTATGAAAGGTAAGGTTGTGTCAAGGTTTCTAAAATGGGAGACAGAGTAAATGATGGTGTCATGAATATGGTTTAGAAGTGAGGATTACAGGTTTTGAACACACGTAGTCTGAGTTGCTTGTGCAAAATCCAGGTGGAGATGTCCTATAGGCAGTGGGACAAATAGGTCTGGAACTTAGAAGAGCGGTCAGGGCTGAATGTCTAGATTTACAAATCATCTCTTTAAAAAATGATCATTGAAAATATGGAATCAAACGAAATTTCTAAGGGAAAATGCATTGAGAAAAGAAAAATGAGCCAAGAACAGCACTTGGGGAATTTTTTATTCCATCTTTTTCATCTAATTGCAACTTAGCATTTTGCAAGTATACACATTTCTGACCTTTTAGGATCAGAAAAAAAGATGAGGGGACAATGAATTCAATTTAACAAGTATTTATTAAATGCCCATTATTTGCCAGGCACTGGAGATAAAGACAAAACTACAACAGTCCCTGTCCTCAGGAACCTATGTTCTACTGGAATTTAAAAAATAAAATAAAATAAAAAGTATAAACTGATATCTCTGAAGCCAAGGAAGGGGGCAGGTATCCAAAAGGATGATTTGGTCAACATTTGTCTAATGATATAGTAAATCATATCTCAAATATTTGCTTGGGAAAAATATTTTATTTTTCCATTATGTGAATCAAAATGTTCCCCTGTTAACCTAATGTAGTAGTGCTTTCTGGAGTTAGTTCTACAGCCATTTTAATTTGACATTTTGAAGGCTCTCACATGCATAGGGATTTTCTTTCATTATTTAAACTTCTGTTTATAATGCAGAGCAAATTGGCCAGGAGATGTTGGAAAACCTCAGTCATGACAGGGAGAAGATACAACGTGCTCGGGAAAGGGTGAGTTGGGTATATTGTAGCATTTTTGCAAATTCAGTAACGCATGGCCCAGTATACAGAAATTTCAAGAATAATGGCATCCCAATAAGTGACCACATTATTCTAAAGAACTATCTAAAGAACACTGGAGTGTTTGACTGAGGAAAGAAGGAACAATTAAGGATTTCTTCTTTTAGCTGTTCACCTTGGAACACCCCCAAGTGAATATGTTAATGTGGCACTTTAGTTTGAAAAAGCAGACTACAGAGGGAGGTTCTAGAAGTGTCCTATGTACCTCCATCCAGGGTATTTAAAAAATAAAAATAAAACAAAGAACTACTAAAATGTTTAATTTCATTTTCCTTCTATCCATTTTTTCCCACTTATGTTTTGGGAATTTGCACATTCATAAATTGAAAAATGACTACCAGATGTATATTAAATTTTGTCAGCCTGTAAGACATTTGCTTTTTCTCCAGTTCAAGTTCATGTATTCCATCTTTTAATGTGTTCCATGTATTCCATCTTTTAATGCTCTTGGGATTATCTATCATATGCTGTTCTCTGAACCACAGATTTTTAAGAGTTCATTTAGGTGTCATTGTGAGTGTTTGGTTGGGGTTTTTTTTATTTGGTAGTTTCTTAATATCTTTAGATATTTTGTATGGTTTTCTCAATATAAAATAAAATTATTGATTACTAATTCACTTTAAAACAATGCAGTTGTATGAAACCTTGCTTTTAATACATACTTATTCTCTTAGCTTCGAGAAACAGATGCTAACTTGGGGAAAAGTTCTCGGATCTTGACAGGAATGTTGCGAAGGTAAGAGCAAGGTAGGGATCGGCCTCTTTTTTATTCCATGTTTTTCATCTAATTGCAACTTGGCATTTTGCAGGTGTATACAGTTCTATTCTTGCTATCCTGTGTCAAGACCCTTTTGAAATGAGAGTATGTGAATATTAACTCTTGGTTGGATATGCTGAGTAAATCAGATTAAAAATTTTCACGGGGGTAGAGAGGATACCTCCAGTTATAGAAGAAAAAGTTAGGGTTAGACATAAAATACTTCTTCATGGCCCAGGGTAGGTCCCGTGGCAGAAACAACCTGACTTCATTTCCTATTTTAATAGCTGCCTTCTTATATAACGACTATGGTTTTGCCATTATCAGGGACATAACCAAGTGTTAACTTAACCTTTTTTTTCTTTAATTTAGAAATAGGATCTATGAACATATTTATTCCTGAATATGTGTATGTATATATGTGTGTATGCATGCATATATGTATGTATGTGTTTGTGTGTATACATACATTATGTGTATGGTATGATTTTTAAAATCTGAGCTCTTCTGATTTGAATTTATAAATACTAGTGAATGCATTTCAGAACTTTTTGTGTTTTTACCTGTATTTGATGGAAAAACTATTCTGGAAATGTGGGAAAATGAATGAAAGACAGTGTTCTGAATCTAAGAAAGATGTTTTGCTTTACCTAGAATATTTGTATTAGTCTTAAAATTTAATCAATTATTTACTTGAAAATATTTGATAAGGAATCCCTGCTCTTTCAAAATCCAAGAAAGATATCTTCAACATAACTACATTAACTCACTTCTTATTTTCTCTCCAGTTGGGGTGGGGATGGGATGTCCATACTTAGGAATTGTACTTGGATAGACAAAATTAATACGGGCTTTAAAAAATATCACCAAAAGAGCTGGTCCTATGAAAGCAGCTCTTTTCAAATGTCCAAAGTCCCCACTGATCACGTGTTCATCTAAAATAATTTGCCAAAAATGGTTTAGCTAAGTTATTCATTTATCACTAGCATGACTATAACAACAAATCAAACTGAATTATTTTGGCTTCAAGGCTGGTGTTCTCCCCCTATAAGCCTAATCAAAATCGTTTCCTCTGTTCCTTGTATACTCTGCCGGCAAATGTTGACCTGACTCCACACTGAGTCTCTATTTCACAGCTTTCTCACAATCTCAACTCTGAACTGTACCCTACCAAATTCTCTGATTAAGAGTAATATGTAAATAACACAAGCTAAATTCAAAATCCACAGAGAAAGAAATTGGCAATTGAAAGAGATGCTTCAGTGCCCATAGACAATAATAATAAAAATACCAACCCTCCATAGCTTCCCCAGCAAGGCCTCTGCGATATGAGCTGTAACGAATATTCTGCATATGTCTCCATTTTGTCAAATCTCATTAAAGGGGCCTCCTGCTTTATGTCAATTGAGCTGTCCAGAAATCATTCATCATTTTTAGTGTAAAAAAATCATGCAGTTATTTAAATAATATCATATTAATGTTAAAGTTCAGCTGTCATTTAATGGTATGGCTTAATCAGACATAGCATTTAGGAAAAACAGTTTTTCCAGGCTTTCAGGTTGGCAGATTCAAATAAGGATTTATGGGTTTCTAAACCAATGTTTTTTCTCCCGTTTATGCTTGATGCACCTCACCCTTTTTTGCAGGACACCACAAACCATTATTTGCAAGGAAATGAAGTATCTCCCTATATTGTGTTTGAATACATTTGCAAGTAATTTGGAGAGGGTGAACCACAAACAAATATTGTAACCTCTGGCTGAGCTTGCTCCTGGGGAAACACACTTAAGTATCTCTATTTCAAAAGCTAAAAGAAGAAAATCACTGGTGAAGTCTGCTCGGGGTTCACAAATGCAGTTAATCACTGAGTCATCCCTTTTGGGATATGTCTGGGGGTTGAGCATTTAAAAAAAAAAAACCTTCTCTGAATCACCATGCTGGATTTGAACAGAGGAAGTTCTGGTTTCCACCTGTGTAGCTTTTCATTCTGTGCATTGCATCATAAGCTGCTGGGCTATAGCACATGGTATTATGCTGAGGTCACCAGGTCCACTCAATCAATGCTGTTGTCTGACTGACCGTATCTTTGGAGACCAAGTATAGGATGTTATTCTTAGACTTTTTTTTTTTATTACTGTCCTACATGATATAAATTTTCTGTAGAGCACAACAAAACCATTTCCAGATTCACTTTTTGGTCTCTGTATGGAAATGTGTATCCAAATCCCACTCCTTTGGAAGTCAAGGATGTTTTATTCATTGTATTTGTATCCCCAGTGCCTAGCATAGTGTCTGACACACAGTAGGCACTTAATAACTGCTTGTTGATTAATTGATTCTGACAGTCATGTATTTGCAGAAGAGCATCAGAGAAGTTAAGTGAATTGTTCATGTTCATATAGCTCATATCAAAGGCAACCCTTGAATGTCTTTCTGACTCTAAGACCAGTACTCTGTCCACAATGCCACACTCTCTCTTTAATCACAGGTTCTTAATGTATTGTTATATATATGACTGGCGTGTCTCTTAGCCTCTTGGAGTCTCACCTTCCTCATCTGTAAAATAAGGACTGTAACTTCTGTCTTTCCTATCTCACAGAGTGATTGTGGTCAGTATCATATGAAATATATCTGAAAGAGTTTTGTAAATTGTAGGGTTATTCTGCAGATGTAAAGGTTTTTTATTTCCTTTTTATTGTTTTTTTTATTATGCTCTTTATGTATAATGTAGGCCTGCATAATAAATTTCTGTGTTACTAAGAATTAGATTTAAAAATAAAGTACCCCTAAATATACTAAACATTTTATCACAAGGGAATTAAATTACTCAGATGTTAATTGATAAGAAAAAAGATTATTTTTTTTTTCAAAATTAGACTACCTTCATGTATTAAATCAGCAAACTCTAACTTTGACAATCCATTTATTTTGGTCACTTTAACAATAGGAATGATTAGATTGTATCTATGAAAATCTATTATGAAGACAATTGAAGTGAATGCTTAAAATGATCCAGTCCAGCTGGGTATCTATCTGTGTGGCTGTCTGCAAGTTGACCTAAACTAAGTGAAAGAGGAAAAAAAGATAATGATTAATTTTTGATTAATTAAGTTTATAGAGTCTATTAGTCAACCAATATTGTATACCCATATCATGGGTTCTATGCTTTTTAAACTTTATCACCATTAACTTTCAATGAATATGAAGGTTCTTTTCTAGAATTCTTAAGGCAGCTACTTAAAAAACAATCAGACATGCTACAAATCAGATTAATCCCTGCTAATAATTAAAAAGGGGACAACAATGAGCATTTGTTAAGTACTTACTATGTGCTAGGCAATGCCAAAAAAAAAAATGCCATAGATGAGTAGAAAACAAGTCAATTGCAAGTCAATAGCAAGCCAAAGATTTCAGAAAACAAATACAAGATGATGACCTGGTTTTATTTCATGAAGTAAGAAAATTATTAAATGGACTAAAGTTAAAAAGGATAATGAGTAAAGAAAAAAGAATGGTTTTATATAACACAATAAACATCTCAACCCAAAGTACATGGGTCTTTGCATAACCCAAAGGAAAACAAAAGAGGAAATTGGTTTGTTGAAGATTATAATGTGAAAACTTTACATGAAAATAAATATATAGCTGATTTTTTTATAAAGTAATTTTTCTTCCACTTTGACATAAGATGGAGAGCTGCCTAGGGACAAACTGTTCATTTCCTGGCTGGATAGACAGAGTTTTAAATATAGTATTCAAATAATAATGAAAATAGTCATGAAACAAATGGCTATTCATGTTCTATGGATAGTGTGTCCCAAAAATTGGATTTCCACAGACATTCATGGAATTGATTACTGTAATTGGATATCTTAAAGTGACACTTGTGTGGCATATTGGCCTAAACATTGCTCTTCTTTAACATAAATATTTTTCTATGGAGATATCTCTTAATTAGCATTTGACTAGGGAGTCCCAGATTGTTTGTGTTAATGCTTAATAGCCAGTGAGAATAATAATAATAATTTACCAAGATTTTTGATTAGCAAAAACAAAGGAAATTGTGATTATTTATTTTCCTTCCTCAAATTTAGTAATTTTTAGTTTTTAAAGATTAAATTTTTCTCAGGGAAATAATGATTTAGATCCAAAGCAATTTGCCAAACCCATCATCATAAATTTGGAAGGAAACAGTACATAGTCATGTTAGTTGGTATGCTATGTATGCAAGCAAACGACTTTGGAAGGATATCATGTGGAAAATAAGCAAAAAAAAAATGCATTCTTTGTAAGATGATCTCAGCATTAAATCATTTCTTGTTTTCCCCACAGAAACTTTACCTGCCCAACTATTTCTACAAATTGAAAAAGATTAGAAAGAGATTTCATTTAAATATGTGGATTTTGCTTATCCTTCTAGCTAATGGCATGCAGCAACTTGGTTAGTTAAGGTTGTTGTAAGTAATCCATTGGACACATGCTACAGAAAGCATTAAGTACAGTTGACATAACTTGTGCAGTCTAAACTCCTCTAATGCAATATAATACAGGTGTTTTTCTTGGACCCACTTTCTGAAACATTTGGGGGACTAATTGGCAGCTATCATTGTAATCACATTTTCCCTGTTTTAGAAAGCAGTCTATGGATAGGTAAAACATCTGGATACCTTAAATATACTTTTGTAGTGATTCCTGAGGGTAAATATTCTTCATTGATAGAAATTCCAACCACAGAACTTCTAAGTCATAAAGATTTTAAAGAATAAGGTGGAGTGAATTATGTTTAAGAAAATATGTCAGTGCTACTAAGGAAAAAATAATCATTCTTCTGTTGTTCCTTTCTTACCATTTCGCTTAGGAAATGTTTTGTTACATTTTTAATTGCTCTTATGCTGTCTGAGAATTCAACAGCAAAGAGTTTCCAAGTCTTCTAAGAGAAATGTCCTTGAAAATTCCCTCACTATCTCCACATGCTGAAA